AAAATATTTTTAACTTTTTAATTTGAAATACAAATTAGCCTTCAGCTATAATATTATATTTCATTGCGTATTATTAGCTCATCTCTTGAAAGCTTTTTAAAACGCTATAACAGAATATTTTTCATTGAGTATTTTTTGAGTTCTATGACTTAAGTTACCATCGGCATTAGTACATATTATCTAAGATATCTAACTGACTTAAAATTTTTAATGTTGTTCATAACCTTGATAACATTTGTTAAGATCGCAGCTTTTGAAAGTTGTTACTTTTATTTTCATTTTTAGTATAAATAAATCTTTTTAAATTTTATAACTTTGAAATATTTTTTTATAAAACTTATATATATTTCGAGATATTTAAGAGTTCCGGTACTTTTATTTATGTACATTTTATTATTTTTTATATACATTGTATATAAAAAATTTTATATATATTTTAGGATCTGATTACGCTCGGCCTCTGTTTGCCCGCATCTTGTTCCAGGAATAATATAAGTTTCATTCTAGAAGGTATATTTCGAGACAGAATTCTTTTAGTCAATGATCTGTATTCCGTGGATCTCAACCTGATCCAGGTAAAAGACTTAAAGGATGATCACCAATGGCTGTTAAATGGTGCGATACCTTTCATATGGTATGTCGAAAAGACACATGACATTAAGTCGATATTAAGTCGACCTTACTCTATCACTACATGACGAATTTATTGTCAAATATTTGTTTATTAAATAATAAAGAAGGTGTAAAGGCATATTTTAATAAAAGTTGAAAACATCCAGATTTTAAAATCTTTTTTGACTACAGGCATGATCTAATATTGAATTTTCTACTAAATAGTTTTCAATCCAAGAGCAATACATTCATGATCGAACCAACAGATAGCGTTTATTAGTTTAACAGAAACACCTCTATCTCACATTAGGTGTCTATCTTATAATAAGGGACTTTCCTCTAAAAACAAAGCAATACGAAAGTACTGAAAAATGGATAATGTGCCACATACAAAAAAATGCTAAATATAATATTTATTCTGTTTTTTTTATTGCAAGAACATATTATTAATGATTTTTTGATGAAAATAAATATATCTAACATAATGTATCATAGGTGGTATAACCAATATAAGGATACAAGTAATAACTTCGATAGATTAACTTATACAACATGTAAAATAAGCTTTGAGACACGTTTTTAACAGTATAATATATCTTTCTACGAACAGTCCTCGTGAATCTATCTACTGCACAATTAGATATTATCCAATTACATTTTAGATAATTTTTAAAAGTAAAAGTATGTAATGTGTAAATATGACGTATAAATAAATATTTGTTTTACTTTATATTTACAATAGTGTTACAAGTAGTATAAGTTCCATTAATCAAGAAAATTTAATCTATTAAAATGGATTAAAAAAACTATATTCTCTATTCAGAATTTTGAATTGAGCAGTAAATTAATATAATATAATACAAAAATTAGCAAATAAATAAATAATTATGTTTATTTATTGAGTATTGGTCAAAAACGAATATCCTGTCACAACGGAATTATGCGGCAAAATGGTTGTAAGCGCCTTAATCTATATATTATTAGAGAAAATGACTACTGCCATTTTATCCTAATAAAAGTAGTAGCATATTGCCTCAAGATACTATTTCATCTTTTGATAACATGGCCTGTACAATACGGCCGTTAAGAAAATAAATCAACGATGTACTGAATATTTTCATTTTAATCTACATTAATAGATTTAAGAAGCTAAATATTGTGTAATGTTTAAATATTAATTTACATAAAGTAGAATAGAAGTTATAAGAAGCACATCTTCGTATACCATGCTGTCATATTTACCTCATAAAAACAACACTTGTACCAAAAAATTCATGATACTTATGCAATACGTTAAACACACAATTGTAAATAATTTTGTGACACTAACGTAAGCGCTACTAATCGATACCATTGTTAAACACAACGAATGACATATTCCCCCAATTGGTGTATTATCCACGGTTATTAATTTTATCATTTCAGTGTTGGTTTAGTACTTACCTTTGCCATGATAATAAGCGGCACAATATACGATATATTTATATATCAAACATATTTAAAGACAAAGACTAAAACTGTTAGTAAGTATATGTCTAATTGTAAAACTTTTTAAGCTTTTTAGGTAATTCGTAATACTGATTTTGTTATATTCTCCTGGTATTTCAAAAGAAAATCACGTTTTACATGTTAAAACCGTTTTACTAAATTGGAATCATTACTTTAATAAAATTCCAAAATGCAAAAAGATATTTTTTCTCTCGTATAGTATTATTTATTCCTATAGTGCAATATCGTTTTTTACCAATTATTTGCTTGTTAATAGCTTTCTTGTCTTGCCGGCAAACATCTTTCGCAATTTTTTATCAATATAGATTCTGAATTGTGATTTAGATGCAGAAAATGGGATCGAAGAAATGACAATGACAGATTCGTCGTCTTTACGTGAGAAAAG